ATTATATATTATAATATATAAAAAGTATTATGATAGATATAATATATATAAGTATAAATCTATTTGATAAATAATTATACATAATTTTAATATTGATTTTGAAAAAAATTCAACAATATATATCAATAAAATCTATATTTATACTTTTTAACTTATGAGAATATAATTGTAAAGAACATTGTTTTTTAGTTAATGATAATTTGAGACTAATTTCATTCAAAGTATAGTATATCTATATGAATAAGGATTATTCTAGTGTATTTTACTTTTCTAATTTCTATATATACTAGAAATCAAAGTCTATCTTTAAATATATAACACCTTTATTTTTTATTTTCTATTTTTCAAGTTGATCATTAGTAAAAATATATTATATGAAAATAATCCCAAGTTAATTGCGTCAAAGGAAATGTGCACGCTAAACTCGGTCAATAATTAGTTTTGACTTAGAACTTCCTTTACTACCTTTCATTCCACAACTCAATTACTATCACTCTCCCATTTTTATGCATCTCTCTCTAGTCTCATGAGTGCCTTGTTTGGGAATACCATTGCTTAAAATGATAAGAAGATAAAGCGATTTCACAAGAAATAGATGCAATGTGTATACAAACAATTGGCAAATGAATGTTTATATCTATAATTTCCAAAAATAAATAATGGCTCAATATATATATAACACTACTTATCAACTAGTTCCCATCAAGTTCCTCTTTTGTTTCTTCGTTTTACCATATATTCCTATATCTACCACTCTATTAAGACCCTTACCACACTTCAGTAGCTCTTTCCATTTCTTCATTCTTTCAAGCTACTTATCTTGGTTATTTACATTCAGGTTCAATTTTTTCTAGGTAGGTATATCACTATCAACTTAATTTCCTTCTGTTATTCTGCTAAAATCAAATCCATGCTTTAGGTTTTAAGTGCTCTTGGTTCTTTTAAGTTACTCATGTTCATCTCAACTTTTCTGCTTAACAGTTTCAAAAATTACTACTCTCCGATTCCTCAAGTGCTTTGGGTTTCAATGAATTAATTCCTTCCTCTAAAACATGTTTGTTGTAAGATGCCTTTAATTCATTAACAAGTTTTGAATAGGCTTCATTTTATTTCAAGTAAGCTTTACTTTTCTTTTCCCCCCTTTTTTAATAAAATTTTCCTGGATGTACTATGTTATGTTGTACCTTGCATTGCACGAGTGCATGAGATTAACTTTTTTTTCTTTGTTTTTTTGTTTTTTTGTTTTTTTTTTTCCTTTTAATTCAGTATCTGTTGTTGTTTGTGGCTATTATATTTTAATGTTTGTGGCTAAACCCTAAACCTAATATTCTTGATAACCTTTGTTATATATATATGTAGAGTTAATCACCTATACACTGCTAGTGTAAAGTTTTTTTACACTGATAACCAATTATATCTTTTAATTGTGCCATGTCACTATAAATACATTTATTTTTAACAGTTACATGACATAATTAAAAGATATAATTAGTTACCAGTGTAAAAAAAATTTATACTAGCAGTATAGGTGATTAACTCATATACATATATATATATATATATATA